TTTTAAGGGGTCCACTTTTTGACAAAAACCCCCCCCCCCCCCCCCCCCTTAAAAATTGCTGGCTACTGGCCTGCCATTTAATGCTTCTCCTGTCCATCTTTCACCATAGAAATTAAACAAAAATAGGTGAACCATAAAAATTTCTAACACTGAATGTGATTCAAGATTGGGTGCTGTCCTATATTATTGTTTTAGCCAAATTGATATTATAAGTCAAAACAAAGATGTATTAATGATAAATTTGTAATATTAATTTGATGTTCTTTATGGTCTTCAGACAAATAAGTTATCTTTAGCATTTAGCGAAAAGGTGAATTTGAGATCAATCATAATGAATTTGGTCGGCCTAGCTCATGGGCACTAACTCCAAAGGGACTCTTGCTGAATGCAATCAGATAAACAGGGCTCCTCTTGTTTCCAACATATATATATATATTCCACTCAAGGCCAATAGGTGGTGTGTATCTACTACAATTAAAACTGAAGTAGCATGTTTCAAGCATTTGTCAGAAGTTTGTGGACTACACTGGCCATCACAAAAATAAATAGTTGTGTAATACACAGACAGATGTGTGTCTAACAGCCAAATGCCTGGCAGTGTGTGCTGGAAAAATTGCTTGTATTTTAGAAAACAAAAAAGCTGGAGGAGTTGAAAATGAGGGTTGTGGAACACAGGGCTTTTGTTTGTCTATGTAAGACTACAAGTTGTTTGTAGCATGACAGAGAGATATTAGGCCAGTGAAACGGTAAACACATAAACTTGTCCTGTACGGAAATTTTTTTGCTTAGAAATTCTCTTTTCAGATAGCTGTTGACATGTGTGCATACACTGGGGTGGCGCTAGCAATATTTTTCTCTTAGCCAAATCACCACAATTTTGTCAATTTGTTATCAAAATGGTTATAATTTGACGTAAAAACAAGTCAAATCAAGCCCTTTTTCTTTAGCCAATTTAAGTCAGTTTTAGCATTTGGCTAAATTGGCGAGTGTTAGCGCTACCCCAGATACAAGTACATGCATACACACATATGTTCAGTAATTATTATTTTTCCTTGGGTCTAAGTGAAAGTTTCTGATTGATTTTGGATATTTTAGACCTGAAAGCTTGGATAACAAGGTAGCTTCTGTGAAGGATATCAAAGGCATGGTTGGCAAATTCCTGGGATGAAGCAGTCTTTGATTACTACATTCCGCTTATAAAGAGTGGCCATAGTGTTGATAAAGTTGTTTTCCAAGATATGATATGGCAATTGCTCCACAAACTTGCTTCAAGTTGACCACTGATATTTACATTAAAATTCTTTTGTTAATTGTCCTTTTAAAATGTACAAAGAGTGACTTTTGATTTTGTCACAAAGGAATAACATATTGAAACAAACAAATTAATTAATTAAATGAGAAATAAGTTTAAGTGATGAATTTAAAATCTGTGAGTGGTAAGAGGATTAACATCCCTGCGGCAGGTGAAGAGTGTTTCCAAGAATCCTGATAGCTGGTCTTCCAGAGAGATAGCCAAGCAACTCGTGACTGCAGACAACCCACCTTTGACGTACTCTTAATTTAGTCATGGTTGGGACATTAAGTCTGTTTCCCAAATAAATTTAATTTAAACCCAGAAATTTTAGACCACAATCTGATATAGCTCAGTTGTAGATAAATTGAAATTTGATCTTTGTTTTTAAGCAGCAGTCCCCCCCCCCCCCCCCACCACCCCCA